GGGGGGGGGGGAGTTGATGCCAGTCTGTCCAAAGGTTGCACTTCCTGGGTGGTTAATTACCTGTTGACACTCCTGCCGACGCTCAGTGACATGAGGGATCGCCTTGCTGTTGGGGACAGTCCTACTCTGTCGTGGCGAGGCGGTTCTCCCACGGAAGGGGAGGAGGCTGGACCAGGAACAAGTGGAGGAGGAGGGGGCTGGAGCTCAGTGTCACGTTGGGGGGGGTTGAGGGAAGGGTGGAAGTGGGGTATGCGAGATGGCTACGTAGGCGTAGCCTGGGCTATGCTCAAGTGCGGCGGTTGTGCCATGGCCGAGCAGATGCTGACGGTGGGCATGAGCAACGCTTTGACTGGTATAGTCAACAGCAGGGTAATTGCCGACGGAGGGGAAGGAGGAGGAGCGGCCGCGGGCAATGGAGGAGGTTCGAGTGCCAGTGCGTCTATGATGATGGGGATGGAATTGGACGTACTGGAGCTCTCGCCCAATGGCGTGCTCTGGCTTCTGGGAGCGCTTCACGAGATGCTGCCTTACGGAGGGCTCTCGATGTTGCATGCCCGCCGAGACGTGTTGAAGGCGATGGCGGAGCTGCTCGACGCGACCCACTTGATGCATGTAAACGCGTGGTGGAGGGAGGTTGAAGGGGAGGGAGTGGACGGGTGCGCAAGTGATCGAGGTGTGGAAGTGGCTAGGGCCAGCGACAGCAGCGGAGACCCTGTGGGCGGCGCGAAGAGGAGCGGCGCGCAGCCTGGAGCGCGCGGAGTTGTCCTGGAGGTCACCAGGATGTTCTTGTATCCGCTCGTTGCTGGCGTTCTCCCCATGACGTCGGCGGCGCATGCAGGCGGCGGAGGAGGAGGGCAGCACAGGCGGGAATGCTCGGCCGGGAGTGGAAACGACTTCGTGAATGCGATGGGGACCGTGGCGCCCTCGTCTGCACAGAGAGGGGGCAAGGCCGCCGGCATCGCGGCGAATGGAGTCTCGGGCATGGGCGGAGGCCTTGGAGGGCAGTGCACTCTCACTGTCCATGATTACGTGCATCTGTTGGGCGAAGCTCACGTGATGGGATACCTGGTCGGCGCGCTGCGGTTTGTCAATGGTAATGATCTTGTCATGCCCATGAGCCTGATCTCTCGCTTGGTTCTCGCCCAAGCGGGCCAGTCCAGGCAATACGTGGCGAGGCAATTCGTCGAGTCAGGCGGACTCGATCCCGCGTTGATTGCCCGTCTCGCGAACCCGATCAATCCCAGCCAAGTTGCTGTGGACCTGCTGGTCACCATCTCCCAGCTGGCGCGTATATCGAAGGAATTCTACGATCCGATCGGGGCGTCGGAAATCTACGCGCCTCTGAAACGGTACCTGGTCCATTCGGATCCCGGCGTCCGATCACGGGCGTGCAACCTGGTCGGGAATATGTGTCGGCACTCAGCCTACTTCTACGAGCCCTTCATCCGCCATGGCATCTTGCCCCACCTAATCGACCGATGTCGGGATCCCGACAAAGGGACGAGGAAATTCGCCTGCTTCGCTGTGGGGAATGCGGGTTTTCACAGCGACACGCTGTACTCGCACCTGAAAGGGGCTGTGCCGCACCTGTCGGATCTTCTGACGGACCCAGAAGAGAAGACGAGGGCCAACGCGGCAGGAGCGTTGGGGAACTTGGTAAGGAATTCTGGCGCGCTTTGCCAAGATCTGGTTGACCACGGAGCCGTAAGAAAGCTCTTTGAAACGGTTGCGATGGGGGCGGGATTGATGGGCGGCGGGGGCGGGGGCGGAGCAGGGGGGGGGGGAAGAGCAGCGGGTGGTGGAGGGGCTTCTGATGGGCAGTCGCCGCTCAAGATTGCTTTGTTTTCGATTGGCAATTTGTGTGCTCATGGTGTGTGCAGAGACGTGCTGCGGTCGATGGAAATCATCAAGGTGTTGACCAGACTACAGAAAACGGGCGATCCGACGATCGTGAAGTACGTAACGAGGATCGTGTCGAAGTTGCAGGACAGAGCTTCCAGTTGAGGGGAGTTGTCGATTTGATATCAGAGAATGTGTTGGTCCTGAGAAGAGGAGGTGGAGCAGCAGCAGCAGGAGGAGGAGGAGGAGGAGGAGGAGGAGGAGGAGGAGGAGGAGGAGCAAAAACGGAGTGACGAGAAGACATTCGGTGTGGTGGAATCGGTCGACAAGTGGAGCGCCAGGGACGGTTGGGTGGGGATGGAGATAAGCAGCAGCAGATATGCGGGAACGAGTTGATGGACAAGAAGCCGGCCGCCGCTACTGTCCGCGTACTTGGTCGACAATCCATAGGCGGTTTCTTCTCCCCTGGCAAGTTTTCTTACCACCCTCCTCCGACATTCTCTTTTTATATATACCCCTCATCGTTTTCTTTCAGATTCGCTGATTGCTTGCTGTTTTGTAACTGTTCCTTTTTCCTTTCTTTCATTCTTTCCACCCTCACGAGCCTTCTCTTTACCCTCATCCTTCTTCGCCTTTCTCCTTCGTCATTCTCTCCGTACATATCACCTTGCCGCTTTCTTTCGTGTATGCTGCTTGCTGTTTTGCGTTTGGCCGCTCTTACGACCCTCCCCCTTCATCCTTTCATAAGGTGGCCTCATTTCTTCATGCCATGCCGGTTCCTGACCTTCCTCCTCCGCCGTCTCGCTTCCTCTTGCTCCCCCTTTTCTCCTTCAAGATTTCCCTCTCTCCTGGCCTTCTTCTATTCCCTCCCTACTCTTAAGTGCGCCCCGTCCTCTGCCCCGTCTCGCTATGGGCCTCGCTCCACTACACGACACTCCACATGCATCTGGACGCTTTCTCGACCAGTTTCATCGGGATGAGTCAAACACTTCGAATGCATCGGGTCTAGAAGGCGTCCAAATGCATGTGGATTGTTGTGTAGTGGAAAGAGGCTCCCTATGCTGCGTCCACTCTTCAGTCTTTTTTATGTGCTTCTTTCTATCTCCGTTCTCTTTTCTCGTCATTCCATCCCCTTCGTCTCTAGCGTTCCTCGTTTCTGCTGCTTGCCCTCAGATCTGCTCCTCCGCTCCTCTTCTTGTGAATGCGTCTCTCGTTTTGTCCTTCTCCTCGCTCCTCCCGTTTGCCTGCTTTCCCAGCATTTCTGCTAAGGAAAAACTCTTCAAAAACAAGAAAAAAATTGCTTTAAAAGGTGGATGACAGCTATCCTGTCCTGCGTACATAGGACGAGGTTGGGTTAGTTAGGCCAGCTCCCATTGCGGTTCCTTGCTGACTCCTTGAAGCGCTCACAAGTTCAGCGACCTTAACCTTAAAGACCCTCAGCCACATACCATGAGCAGGTTGTCTGACCCTAGATTAGGGTTGATTTGGAGGTGTGGTGTCCCTAGGAAAATAATTGGGTTTGTTAATGTGAGCAGGTTCAGGGTTGAAGGTGCTTGAGTGTGTTTAAAACAGTGGAATTGTGAGAGAGAGGTGACAGGTTTGAGTGTGTTTAAAACAGTGGAATTGTGAGAGAGAGGTGACAGGTTTGTACTGTTGCTCCTTCGCACACGTTGTTCAATGCATGCCTTKTTTTTTTTTTTTTTTTTTTTTTTTTTTTAAMCACGCTGAATTATATTTCGAAATGAAGAGTCCGAGGCCGGGGACCTCACAATTCTCTCTTCTTTTCTTTATTCTTTTATTTAAACATCCACAAACATCCACAAGCATTGTCCTCGTTGCACGTATCCAAAAACTCTGCTTTGTCTGAATTCATGACTGGCCAGTATACAGTGACCGGTGCACATGTGCATACGATTTTGAGAATTAAAGAATCACAAGACATAGCATCATAAATTCAAAAGTTTTTCATTTTGGAGGTCGATAATTGTCGAACTTTCTGATTCTGGAATTGGGAAATTTGCAGAATTTGAACCGGAGTGAGGGCCCGGGATGAGCACTGGCCTCAGGGAGAGAGAGAGAGAGAGGTGGTGATGAGCCAAGATCAAGAAAATGGAGTCCCTTTTCTGAAGCCTAGGGATCTCAACAAGTCAAACACGATGATTAGTGCAGTAGATGGTAGATGGATGGATCAACACGATGATCAGTGCAGTAGATGGATGGGTGGATGGAAAGTCTTTCTCCATTGGTATCAGATAAATTTTGTGTTGTGGGTCATTCGATCGTAGGGAGAGGGATAAAAGGGAGAAGTGTGAGAGCGTGCACCTTGCATCTGCGTACATGGCTGATTGAAGCAATCTATCAGCTCAGCTGCAAGCATGTTTCTGTCATCGGGGAGTTTCCCTCCCCTTTTCAGCTGGCCGTACGGCAGAACTCTTTCCTTTGCCGCGTTGTCTGGCAGCTCGCACTCGCATTGCAGGACCGTAAGAGAGCTCTGTGTCCGCTGGCGGAGTAGCTGTGCCAGTCCCGGGTACTGGGAACTGTAATGACTGTGGATTTTCTACACCGGTTGTATGGTAGTGGCAGGGTGCATACGTGGAGAGAGTAGGTGATGTCCTGAAGGGGGACTACATCATGCCTTAGCCCTGTGGTTTGAAGTGGTCAGCCAAGGGGCACCGTTATCCGTATGTAGGCGTATGCGTTGCCACAAACATCAGCTCGTTAAAACTTCGTCATTACATCTTCCCGAAGGAAGTTTGTTATGCAACTACTGCAGCAATATCCAGTGTGGTTGGACGATGCGTGTGATCGCAGCCGTCTATGTTGTTGTGATTGGGTTTCAATGTGGCACCATCTTTTGGAGGTCCTCAGGTTCTGGAACGAGGGAGTACCAGGATGTCAACACTGATTAGGTCGTCTGATTATTTTATTATTAAGTAAAAGTGAAAAGCCTTTCAGAAAGTGAACTACAAGTCTGCTGAACAGAAGCCATAAGAGCTAACACAGTTGGAGAATGGTAGAATAGGACACAGAAGAGGAGACGGTTTCACGGTGGGAGTCGTCGAAGTAGCTAGAGCAAGGTCGTCATGTGGTAAGTTCGGTCACGGCATAGGGTACTGGTATTAAACCGCTGCAGTGCTTCCTAGAGTTGTGCCCGTTAACGCGCCACGATTGTGGAAAACGTACGGGCTACTACAGGAGTGCCGAAATTCATCCGACTAGAAACGTTTCTACTCTTTTTTTTTTCCGCGGCCGATAGCTGGGCCAAGTACTGGTGGTTTAAGAGAAACAGTCGTAAGAGTTCCCCCTGCATTGGCTTGGACCACGACACCATGGTCCTCACGAACATGATAGAATGGCACCCAGTTTGCGATTCCAGTCGTGCTTTTCCTCCTTTTTTTTAATTGCTTTGTCTTTGTAATTGACACCGCATTTGCATTACTACTGTACTGCAAGCTATTCTGAGACATCCGATATGAAAAAGATCTGCTTTCTTTGCCACGTTCTTCAGGAGTGTCGCCGCAGGGGTAGTGACCGATATGGCCAGCGTTGGACGCCTTTTGTAGCTATGTCTGAGCGTAATTACTGTACTGGGAACTGAATTTTTCAACCTTGTTGTGAAATCCTCCCCCTGTTAAAGAGGCTTGATGAGGAAAAGGAGGGCTGGCACCCAATGACTTGGTGGTGCTGTTTCAATTTTCGAACACCGCAGTGCTTTGGTCTCATTATTTGGCCGTTTCCATCTTCGATGGCGTTGTTTGGGTGGTTTCCAGAGGTTTTCACAAAGTCTCTACCTCCTGTCTGGGCTTTAAGACACGGCCTTCTTGAACTTCGAGGTTTGGCAGCACGATTAAGTGCTCTGTGCCAGCTGGGGGTCCATCTATGGAGGTAGGGGGTTGGTCTATATTGCGAAGGTTACCCTGAAATGTATCTGGCTGTTCCAGGTCTTGACCGTCATGTGTTCCGCGGTGCTGAACCTGGGGCTGTGCTTGATTGAGGAGCGTCCACCCTGTCGGGTGTTTCACTTTGGCACACATCCTTACTTGTAGTTCGGCTCGAATTATGCTATAGTTCTCCAAAGGAGATTTGTTTCTATCTTCGATGGCATTGTTTGGGTGGTTTCCAGAGGTTTTCTCAAAGTCTGCCCTTTTAAGACACCCCTCTTGAACTTTGAGGTTTGGTGGCGGCATGATTAACTGATCTGCGCCAGCCAGGGTCCATCTATGGAGGGGGGTGGGGTATAATAATGCGGAGGGTACCTTGGAAGTGTATCTGCCTGTTCCAGGTTTTGACCGTGCTGTTGAACCTTGGGCTGAGAAGGTTTGTTGATTGACGAGGAGGGTCCATCCTGTCGGGTATTTCAGCTTGGCACACATCTGTACTCGTGGTTTGGCTTGAATTATGGTATAGTTCTCGCTTTAATGGATCTTGGAGGCTTGGAGGGAAAAAGAAAATACAAACTGCCATAGTTCTCGGAAGATCGAGAGTGTGGGGTCTGCTGTTTGCTTTTGTCTTCACTTAGAGAAGCTCTCCGTTCGAGTTATTTCATAGCTCTCGCAACATCTGTGTCTCTTTTTTTTTTTCCGTTTGGGTCTGCTGTTTGCCTTCAAATTTTCGCTCAGAGAAGCTCATCCTGCCCCTTGCCTCTTCTCTTTTGGGTACCTGTTCCAGTCGTTGGTCTTGCCCCAGTTTATCTGTACCAAGTGGGAACTTGTTTTGTGGTTGGTTCAGCGCGTTGGAGACTAGATTTCGAACGAAGATTTGTTGCAGCAGCAGCACATTGGCTGTGTTCTGGGTGGTTATGTCAAAAAATCCCATGATGCTGAAGTGCGGTCGGTTGTGGCTATTGTTGTTCCACAGGTTTCGGAGCTGATCCCTGCACCTTGGCTGCTCTGTCAGGAGAGGATGGATGGGCGATGAAGCATGAAGTAGCGTGGTGTCTGCATTCCAACTAGTTGGAATGCACTTGTGGCATCTGGGAGGCGACATGCAGACCGGCAAATAGAGGCAAGATGGGAAGGAGTGGAGGATTAGGAAAGAGGGGGGGGGAGGATAGAGGAGGAGGAAGAGAGAGAGAGAGAGAGAGAGAGAGAGAGAGAGAGAACACATCTAGATGTGTATAAGAGACAGCACTACCCACACACTGATGCGAAAAACGACACGGGCGACGACGTGTGATGAGGAATCTCTCTCTCTCTCTCTCTCTCTCTCTCTCTCTCTCTCTCTCTCTCTCTCTCTCTCTCTCTCTCTCTCTCTCCCTCCCCTGCCGAGCGTTGTCAGAGGCCACCCATCCTCTTGGCCAGTGCATCCCTTAGAATCAGCGCATCTCTCGTCGAGCTCTCCATGCACACCGGCGACAAGGGACGTTAGATTCCTAGATCTACACGACGGCGCACTCCGTTCAGATTCACCTCCCACAACAGATTGTTATCAAACGAGATGTCAGCGTCGATGAGTAGGTTGTGGAGAATGCACACAACCACAAACTGTTGCGGCAACGTCTCCATGTTCGTCTTGTGTGACCACAAGAACAACCTCCACATCCCCTTTAGTCTGCCGAAAGCCCTCTCAACTGCCTCCCTCCTGGTCTTCTGCTTGTTGTCGAACCACCTCTCCGACGGGTGACGAGTAGTGCAGCCATAAGGAACAACTATCCATTCAGATGGTGGGTAACCATTGTCGCCCAGGAGGTAGCCATTCGTTTGTACGCCGAATGACAGCATCACATGCGGGCCTGTGAAAAGTTCCCCAGCCTCTGCACGCGTCCATAAACTCGACAAGTGGATGATCCTGGCGTCGTGGCAACTTCCAGGATAGCCGATAAAGACGTCCAACACACGCAAGTTCAGATCGACGACAACCTACGAGATGATCGAGAAACATCGTTTCTGATTGTAGTAGTCCTCACCAAGGGTGTTTGTCGGCTTGTCGATGTAGAGATGTGTGCAGTCGATGTAGCCATGCCAGCTGGGGAACCCCTTGCCAGCGAAAGCACGGAGGACAACCGACTTGCGCACCCCCTTCGACCATGATATCTTGTCACGGTTGACCATCAGCCACACCGCAATAACGTCCCACACCGCCACCAAACCTGATGCTCTGCCGGTGCCAAAGTTACACGTGTTGCTCTTGTACGTTTTCCCCAACAACTACCGATATAACGTATACGCGACGATCTGATCAGGTTGCAGCGACTCCCTATAGAATGTCACACGTCGTAACAGGAACGACGACAGAGCTTTCGCAATCTCCCGGAAAACATGCGGCGACATGCGCAGCTTGTCCCGAAAGTAGTCCTCCGTGGCGTCGTCGCATTGCGACAGATCCTCCCACGCCCCACCGGTTCTTTTTTTCATCCACCATATCGGCGTTGCTCTGGGAAGAGCTCCGCAACCCAAAGCGCAACACATGTGATCGATGACATCGAGGATGGCGGCGGTGTCCAACCCTTCCACCGCTGTGCATTGCGTGACCTTCCTTCTCGTCACGCAAATATGCGCTTTCATTCTCCCCTCCGTCCTCTCCATCTGACAATGAAAGAGGGCTGCAGTAACAACTGCTGCCACTACCGTCCTCTCCGTCGTCGACAACTTCCCACCGACGTCAATGTCACTGCCATCCATCGCTCCCAAACGAGCCGTGATGGCGCCTTCTCCCCCGACATCTTCCTTGCTTGGCCGCATGCAGGATCACGCCGAGGACTGTTGCGATGGCGTCTTCTCCCCCGACGACTTGCGATGGCGTCTTCTCCCCCGACAACTTGCGATGGCGTCTTCTCTGTTGTCGCTCTGCTGCGATGGCGTCTTCCTTGCCTGGCCGCACACAACACTCATGCTGATCCTGCGGACGCGCAGTGGAAGGAGGTTTGTTTCCGACATCCTCCACCAGCTGCCGCAGCCACACGATGACCCGCCCTCACCCCAGCGACGTCATTCGAATTTTGAACTTCGAACAGGGACGGCGTGCCGTTTTTCTAATTTTTTTTTTGGGTCGTCATGAAGATTCAAAATTTGCTGCCACTTGAAGCTGGACCACGACCGTCCTAGTGGACAACCGCGCATGGACCACCGACCCCACCCCACCCCGCAGTCGCCGATAATACTATTACGTGGAGGGCGACTGGCCGCGGGCCCTCCATAGGAATCCTCCTCGGAAGCCTTCCCAAGGAAAAGTGGAACGATGGCGGGAAATCTCTCAGACGGCCTGAAGGAAAACTCCTCGGGCCCAGAGGACGGCCGGAGGAGTGTCTAACGGGCCCCGAAGTAGGCTGTGGCTGTGATATGTGCATGCTATGTGAGCAAGAACCTGCAGGGAGTGTATATGCACTCAGGGTCAGGCCATACTCACTGGTGCTATGCTCACCGTAAGAGAACAAACATAGTGCCTTTTGGGCCTGGTGCGAGGCCCCAGCGCTGCTGTATCTGCACCCTAAGAAAGTGCAAAGACCGTGCCTTCGGGCCCTGGTCCGAGGCCCCACCGCTGCTGTATTTTTGCTCTGTTTCCACAAGCCTGTCCACTCTAGCAGCACCTTTACCTTCCTAGCATGAACATGCCGCCGGTGGGCCCTGGTCCTAACGGTCAGGCTGCTTTGGTGCTTTGTTTGTGCTATGTCAGCCGGAATATAGACCCCACAGATGCTATGTTGTCTCTAGAATTCAAGAAGAATCTAGCCATTTTTACGAAGGCGTTCATGTTTTCGAAGAATGGCCGCAGCGCGAGTGGGCCCTCAGCTATGTGGGGCAGGCGCCGCTATATGTGTAGGTCTTTGCAGGAAAATCCGACGGTCAGACGAGGGTGATGAAAAATCTATACACCTGATATCGGGCATCCGATTTCACAACATCCAGACAGACATTGCTGCATGGAGGTTGCCCCAGTCTCGATCAGATTCTTGCCTTCTGAGCACGGACAGAGCACCGGCGCGACGTGGCCCAAATCCTATGCCTACACCGCTTTCTTTTTGTTTTTTTTTTAAATTCAAAATGCCTACCCGGCTTTCGTAGCCGGGGCTGTCGAGAACTGGTCCGTGCTCCCCCGCGGGTTGCTGCGCCTGGTCCTGAAATGGACGGGTTCGGAGGACTGGAAACAAACCTACCGTAGGGCGGACACAAATCGGAGCGGACAGTTTGCCGCCAAAAGCCACAAGGTCCACATAAACAGGGGATTGAAAAATCAAAAAGACAAAAAACAGGGCGGTCAGGGGTCCGCTGTATAAGCCTTAGGGGTGGTGGTAGGTAGGTAGCGAAGGTGAATTGAAAGAATTTGAAAGATGATGAAAGATTTGAGAGGAGAGAAAAAAAAGAAAAACCGAAAAAACAAAACTGAAAAAACGAATGGAGAACCGCCAAGCGGAACGAAAGGTAGAGAGGGAAAGGAACAGAGAACCGACGGGCAAAGGTAGAAAAAAAAAAGACTGCTGAAAAAGGGACCGGCGTTCGAAACCCGTGCACGAAGTCGTGAATTACCTGGGGCCGGGGCCAAGTCCCACTACCAGCAGCGTTGAGCTACCTCAACACCTGAATCTGGACGTGTTTGTGGAGACGTGCATTTCAGGAAACTCAACACCATTTCTGCACACATCTCCGCAAAAGCGTCCACATTCAGGCGTTGAGGTAGCTTTACGCTGCTACCGGTAGTGGGACTTGGCCCCCGGTCAGTTCGACAGATGATGTCTCAAGGCCGTCGCCGTTCTTGGAAAAAAAAAGGAGGAAAAAGAGAAGGGCAGGAAGCCCACCACGAAGGCATATGACAAAGTGGGCAGTCAGCAACGCTTAGCAGCTACGGAGTGGTGGTCCCCGCTGTTGTCCTTTCCGGAAATAGTAGCACTGGGGGGCGGATTGCGCGGGACTCATCTAGCCGTTGGGAGACGTGCATCCCAGCTAGCCGACGGCGGCGATGAATCTACTACAGCCCGCCATCGGATCGCTGTTCTCGGAAAGCATCGCGTGCAGTAGAATTCTTCGGTGGGGCAGCGGGCCCACGCGTTACCTGGGGCTGGGTCCCACCAGCAACGTGGATCGAACGAGGAGCCTGAATCTGGATAGGTTCTTGGCGGAGATGCAGAAAAGCTGATCAATCACGGTTTTCTGTATCTGTCCTCAAACGAGTCTAGATGCGGGCGTTAGATCTATTCCTCTGTGCTAGTGGGACCTCGCCCCTGGTATTGCAACAGAAATCGAAAAGCGAAAAACAAATGGGCAAAAAGAGGGGGAAAATGACCCGCCGGACCCCTGGGCCACGGAAGAGGAACAAAGCCCGCCTATGGTAGGTTCCGGCGGGTGTTCGGTCTGGCTGGGTAGCCGCTGCCGCTGAGTGCAAGGAAAGCAAACCCACCGTACGGCGAGCACAGCACGCTACACGCGTCAGACGAGAGGGCACGCGTGAAGGCGAGAAGGGAGAGGAGAGGGAAGGGTGTTGGCGGGGGGGGGGGAAGGAGAGTAGAGAGGAGGGCATGAAAGGATAGCTGAGAGGGAGGCGATGAGGAGTGGAAGGGGGGGAAGGGGAGGCGAAGAGGAGTGGAAGGGGGCAGAGGAGGCTAAGTGGAGTGGAAAGGGGGCAAGGGAAGGCAACAATGCAAGCTTTGGCGCGTAGGAAACCCCGCTTGCAAGGGTGGGTGCATTGTCAGCACCAGATCTTCGGATCTATCGACCGCAGCTCCTCTCAGTCGGAGTAATTCAAGTTAGATGGGATACACTTGTCCTGATTTTACTGACTTACTGTACTGATTGACATGTGGAGGAACGGTGAGTGAGGTCGGCGAGTTAGCACTTGATTGTACGCGAACGGATTGATTGCCAGAGGCGCGGTCAGCGGTGCGGGAGGACGACTCCTCAGGTACGTAGCACGGCGGTTCGGCGGCAACACGCCACGTCAGCTGCTGTTGATCAGAGGTAACGCATGCTATTGTATTGTCTTCAAAGAAGGGAAGAGTAGGCGGGCCTGGGGGGGAGCGGGCAGGCGAACACGAGGGAGGAGAGAGGGTTGGAGTGCGCGTTGTGAGAGCTTCCCGACAGAGCAATGAGAATTGTGAAAGGAGCGGCGGAGAAGGGATTGGCGTTGGAGGTGTGGGTGGTGTGGGTGGTGTTGGTGGCGCGCAATGGACGCCGAGTCCGGCAACTTTATCATGCCCCCGACCGTATACAACATGTTAGAGAGACTTAGGAAGAGGGAAGCCGTGTGCGAGCACTACCTCGTGGGCTGATTGGATGAGTCAGCACATGGATCGGCACGTGCATAAAGGGCGTCTTCCAAATCACGCATCTCGATGTGCGTACGACCCTACTTATCTCCCTCCCGCGTAGTCTGACGTTCCATTCTAACGTCGGAGAAGGGCGAATGCCGAATGATCAATTATTTATCTTGCGGCTGCTACAAGGATCGCGTTAATTGCCTCTTGTGTCCTGTGAAAGCCGGGGATTCCCTTCTATTGTCTGAAAGCAGACTCACGACTCTTGTCCTCTTTGTTCCATTTCATCTTCTTCCTCCTCCTCCTCCTCCTTACCCTCACCCTCCTCCTCCTCCTCACCCTCCTCCTCCTCCTCCTCGGTAGTTGTACTCCTTGTTTTTCCCCTCGTGGGATGCGAATTGAGTGGACCTTGTCCTCTTTGTTCCATCTCATCCTCCTCCTCCTCCTCCTCGGTAGTTGTCCTCTTTGTTTTTCTCCTCGTGGGACGCGAATTGGGTGGACTTGATTTAGGTTGACCTGATCTCCTTTATTCAGCCAACTCAAGTCCATCTAGTTTACGTTAGGGACTGGATCGTCTCTCTTCCTTTCGTCCAGTGGAGCCACGTGGAATGCAGGGGAAAGAGCGAGCGAGCCGACTGCTCCCGTATCATCCCGCTCGGTCCATTCCTATACTCGAGAATCTGATCGGCTATCCGATCCGATTCGATCCTATCTTGTCTTCTTGTTGAGGGGGGGGAGAGAGAGGGAAGATGGAGAATTACCACGTCATCGAGTTGGTTGGGGAGGGTTCTTTCGGCAAGGTGTATAAAGGCCGAAGGAAATACACCGGTCAAACTGTGGCCATGAAGTTCATTTTGAAGCATGGCAAGAGCGAGCGTGACATCAAGAATCTCCGTCAGGAAATCGAGATCTTGCGTCAATTGAAGCACGAGAATATAATTCAAATGCTGGACGCCTTTGAGACTCCTCACGAGTTTTGTGTCGTCACGGAGTTCGCTCAAGGCGAGTTGTTTGAGATCCTGGAGGATGATCAATGCCTGCCGGAGGGGCAAGTTCAGGCTATCGCGAAGCAGCTGGTGCGGGCTCTACACTACTTACACTCTAATCGGATCATACATAGAGATATGAAGCCACAGAACATTTTGATAGGTGCGGGAGGACGAGTCAAGCTGTGCGATTTCGGCTTCGCCAGAGCGATGTCTTGCAATACGATGGTACTTACGTCGATTAAAGGGACTCCGCTGTACATGGCGCCGGAGTTGGTGCAAGAGCAGCCGTACAACCACACCGCTGACCTGTGGTCCTTGGGAGTAATTCTGTACGAGTTGTTCGTCGGACAGCCGCCTTTTTACACCAATTCTATCTATTCTCTAATTCATCATATTGTACGTGATCCGGTGAACTACCCTGACAACATATCGCCGGCTTTCAAGAGCTTTCTGAAGGGGTTGCTGAACAAGACGCCATCGCAGAGGCTGACCTGGCCGCAGTTATTAGATCATCCTTTTGTGAGGGAGACGTCTGCGGAGAGGGCGGAGAGGGAGGCAGCGGCGGCGGCGGCGCTGGAGCGGGGCTGCGATGCGGCTTGGAGGGGGGAGGCGCACATCTCCCTGTGGAATGAGAAGGAGCTGCCACTGGCGGAGAGGGAGAGAGAGAGGGCTCCGCCTCCGGGAAGAGACCGTACGACCATAGCTGCTGAGCGGATTGCCGCGCCGCTTCCGCCAGCAGGCCCGACGGCGCCTTCCTACGGGCACGAATCGGGAGGCGCGGAGGCGCCGCTGGGCGCGAGGTTGGGTGCGCATGGAGCGGCGGGCCGTAGGAGTGGAGGAGGAGGCGGGGTAGGTGGCGGCGGAGCCGCGTCTGCCGTGGCGGGTGGTGACGGAGAGGCCGGCCGCCACTCAGGCGGGGGAGCGGGCTTAGTCTTAAGACAGGGCCCCTCCCCGGCCGTCGCTGCGGAAGAGCCTATGAGCTTATCTAAAGCGGAAGAGGTGTCGAGAGATGGGGGGGTTGAGGGTGCGCTTCTGGTCGTCGCCAATCGTGCGGTGATGAGCCAGGTGTGTAGTGTAATGAGGGGTTTGCAATTGATGGGAGGAGAGATCATGGGAGAGCAGTCGGTGATGGTCGCGTCGCAAGCGCTTAGGGTACTCGACAACGTATTTGGCTTGTGTTCATCGGAGGGAGACGTCGTTAGCGGCGGCGATGGTGCCGCTGGCATCATGTTGATGAGAGGAGGGGGGCAGGCGGCATGCTCTGGGGAAGAAGTGACCGGGGCGTTGCTGATGTTGATTCAGACTTGCTTGCTCGGCAATTCCTCGCAGATCACGCGGCTTCTCGTGAGTGCCGTGGAAGTGACGCGCAAGGCGTTGCTCGTGATGACACGTGGCGAGTTGGAAACGTTGTTCGTACAGAATGCGGTGTCTTTCCTCCGTCTGTACTCCACTTTGATCGCCCATGCATCGGCGCAGTCGTCGGGACAGCTTTTGCACGAGGCCACGGCATGCGTCGCGGAGCTGTTCTGCGACCTGACGTCAGGACTGCTGGCAGCGTCGTCAGGAGGATGCAGTATGTCGGGATCGCGAAGCGGGGCCGGGGGCGCCGGGGCGTGCGCCGACGTTCCCGTCGGCGTCGGATCTCGACCGGTCGTCGCCAATCAGGTGCTGGCACAAGCACGCGTGATGGGAATCGCGTCTCAGCTATGCACCTGTCTCGAGATCGTAGGCCGTAGGTGTGCGACGACGGGTTCGATTGCGACCTCGAGTCAAGGGGGGAGCAGGGGGATGGGCAAGGACGGCTGTGCGGCGTCAGTAGGGGGGAGAGAAGCGGCAGAAGAGAGGAACGAGTGGCGTATGGGCGGAATGCGGGCGGTGGAAGGGTTATGGAAGTTCGTCGAGGGTTTGGATCTTCTGGAGGCGATCAGGTTGGGGAAGGGTCGTCAAGGGAGCGGCAGCGGTGAGGACGGGGGAGGAGGGGGGGGGGGTACTAAAGGGGGTGGCGTACGGTCGAGTGGAGGCGGTGGCACCGGGCATGGGAATAGCACCACTAACAGCAGTAGGTGTATGGGGAGTTCTTGGAAAGGGAGGGGTTTTCCTCTCGCTGTCGCAAGAGGGTTCGTCAGGCCTTGGATGTCAGAGAGAATGGACGAAGAGAAGAGGAAGAGGGAGATGGAGGTGGTCACATCCGCCGTGGTGAGGGCCATCAGCGAGGGGTTAATAAAGAGTCGGGACGCTGTGTCGGCAATACACATGGTTTTGAAGGGCATGGAAGACGAAGAGGGTGGAAGCGAACCGTCCGCCGCGCTCCGACGCTCTCGAGGCTGCAGCTACGTGGTCGCACAGCAGCACGCGTTGCAGTTGCTGCTGCGTTGCGTCTTCAGCATGCCGGCATTGTGTGCGGCGCTGGCAGGGGCGTCGGCGACAGTGGACTTCTCGTTAACGACGCATTCTTTCACCATCACGAGAAAGGACGACTCATCTGCCGAAGGGAGAGTAGGAGGAGGGGCGGGGGGAGTAGGAGGAGCAGGCGGTGGTGGAAGTCGCAACGGGGCGGGGATTCTGGGGGGCGGCGAGGATGGGACCGTGGTTTCGTCGCTGTTTGGACTTCTGCAGCGTTGGAACGATATCGGCAAGAGCGGCGTGAGCAAGAAGGCCGGGGTGGACCGGACAAGGGGAGGGGGAGGAGGAGGAGGAGGAAGCTCGAGGAATGGAGAGTCGCGCGGAGCGCGGACCGCGAGAACCAGCGTCGATAGTGAGAGGGAGGTGGTTGTAGTGCTGGCCTGTTTCCTCCTGGTCGACGTGATTCAGGTGTTGGCGGGGCTGGAGAAGGTGCGCTCGGCTTGGGCGCTCACGGCGTCGCAAACGATACAGAAGCACCGGCTGAGTTGCATAGCTGAGCTGGCTAGAGGAAGCGGTAGGG